AGGAATGAATATAGCTCAAAGGGTATATTAGAGTGCAAGAGTAGTGTGTAGAAATGAAGGAGAATGAGGGATTAAATAGGCTGAAGAAAATAAAGCCGTTGGAGCAAGCGAGAATATGCACCAGATAAAAATAATCGATTAAAGTGAAACTATTAATCGATTAAGGTACACAGAGGCGAAAATGCCTGAAATTAGGAAAGGAACTAATCGATTAAACTGAAGAAAATAATCGATTAGGTGGTTCTGTGCTAACAAAACGATTAAATGAAGAAAATTAATCGATTATTGGGCGATCCTGGGAATCCAACCAGAAGTCTATTAATCGATTAAAAAAGAAGAGAAAATCGATTAATTTCAAAATATCGTGCAAATATAAAGGGCCCAAGCCAATTTGCGATTGAAGCCTTTGGCTTCACACGGGTTGTTTGAGACAACCGGAATCAATGCACGCTCATTGATAACCCTTATTCAATGAATTTGAATAGGGGAGAAAAAGTGAGTCCAAAAAATTATTTTGTGTGTCAAAAGATGTACACGAAAAATATTTAAAGTATATTTTTCTTACCAAAAAAAAATTGTGTAACCTTAAAAATATTTTTAAGAAATTTTTGACACACTTATTTTGAAACTGACTCAGTAAAATATTTTTAGACAGAGGAAAAGTAATTTTTCAACTGACTCAGAAAATAATAATTTTTATCCCTCAAAAAATAATTTGTTTGTGCAGAAAGTATTGTCATCCTTACAAAGATTCTTAGACTCAATTAAAAGAAATCTTCAGAGTCTTCACTTCACTTCAAAAACTTCTGCGTAGGGGTAAGCCTTGATTTTATCTTGATACGCCTCTTTGCTTTTCTCGATACGAAAATAAATTTTTGACCAGCTTGAATTTAATCATTCTGTTTGTCATTCAACAAAACAAAAAAAATATTCCAAAAGAAATAGTAAAGGGGTTTGAACTCATGTCCAACAATTTCCCCCTTTTTGATAATGACAAACATAGTTGAGAAAGAGCAAAGTAAGAGTTCAAAAAATACTTCCTTTTAAGAAAAATTCCCCCTGCAACGTTAGAGAAGTGCAAAAAAAATATCGGAGTAAAAAAATTTTTTCTCAACTATCCTTCCTTCCCCCTTTTGGCATTATCAACCGATATCCTTCCCCCTTAATCAATGCCGGGATATTGAAGGATAAAAAAAATTGCAAGAAATTTTCTTAAAAAAAGAACTTCTAACAAGAATGCCACAAAGGGACAATATGTTCTAAAAGAGAACCATATTGCCAAACCAACAAACAAATACATAATGGCAACATAATCATCCACCAAAAGAGTCATTAACAACAACAATAGCAAATAACAATGTATCATATTAAGTTAAGACAGAAGGAAAACAATCAAAGAGAGTTTGCCGGACGAGCTCCTCCGCTAAAGCTGTGACGCGGGCCACGGTAGGAGCGGGATTGCTCAAAACGAGTCATCCTCTCGTTGAGCTGGCGAACGTCATCTCGGATGCACGTGAGAGTATCGAAGATTCTCTTTACCCAAGATGGTTCTGGTGCTTCTTCTCTTGGACGAGTCCTGCATTGACGAGTGACGCGCTCGACTTCCTCCGGCACGAGATGACTCAGCTTGAGTCTCGTTTTGGCTCTCTTCTTCGTCTACGACTATCAGGTCCAGATTTGGTGCAGCATCGCCCTCCTCACGGTACACGATCCGGGAAAACTTAGTGTCCTTGATGTAGCAAGTCTTCTTGACCGGCACCTGAGTGTCCCGAGTAAGGTCTATTTTGCAATGAGCAAGGATATGTATAATGGGGATGGCAAAACGGAGATGGGAAAAACGAGTGCCATCACTAAGTGCAACGATAAAGAAGTGAACCCAATCAAATTTGACATTGTTCAAGAGGACGTGAAACAAACGAATATCGTCCTTGTTGACAACGCCATGGTTCGAATCACGGGGCAACAAAACATAGGAGAAGATTTATTGTTGGACGCGTTGAATCAAAGTGAGGTTAATGACACTCGGGTTGCTAGAATTTCTAAACTTGAGGTCACGATGATCTAACCCGAGTTGTCTCCAAATTGCCTCATCTTGGAATGTTTCATCCAAGTTTTCGGTAATTTCACCTCGACGAAGGCCAAACAGAGAAGTCAAACAGGCACCGTCAATGAAAACGGTTTTGCCGTCAACATAGGAAATGAGAGATGGCGAGTCTCCCTTAGTGGTACGAAGATTTGCATAAAATTGACGTATAAGATTTGGACAAAAGAATTCATACGTCAAATGGATGAAACGAAGCAAACCTTGCTGAGAGAAAAGAGACTTACTCGGGGCATAGGTCGCCGATTTGAAAAGGTCCTTGTCCACAATCTTAGGTGAGACGATCTCCTTCGTGAGAAAGGTGTTGTGGAACCTCTCGGCTGAAGCCCCAGTGTTGAAGGCGAGTCCGGTTTGGATGTGGATGTACTTGCTCCCTTCACGACACCATGGCCTCTCACCTTCTTCTGCCGCCGATTCTTGACGCGATGAAGCGTTCTTGCACCTTGGCATCTTTCCTCTTTGAAATTGACAAAATTTGGTGAGATTTGGTGATGAAATTGTTGAGGAAAAACGGAGATGGAGTTGAAAGAGGAGGCTAGGGTTTCGCACGGTCTCTGTAAAACTGAGATGGCGTTGAAGACGAAGGCACTGTCTGATTATAAAGAGAAGCAAAAATCGAATATTAATCGATTAAAAAAGGTGCTTTAATCGATTAAGGAACAAAGCCGAGGCCAATCGATTAAATTAAACTAATTAATCGATTAGAAGTGGAGCAGAACCAAAGACGTTTGCGCTTCAGGCTATTAATCGATTAAACCAAGATGGTTAATCGATTAAGATGGACAGATGCCTCTAACCGATTTCTCTTTGAGGAGTAATCGATTAAAAACAGTTTGGCAGGAAAGAAATCATTAAGTCCAATTCGGTTGAATGCCAAGGGAAGAGATACCTGAAATAAAAGCCCTGCAAAAAAAGAATTTATCGCGCCTCCGACGCTCAAATTAGTATAGTCAATAAAAAGAATGGATTAGTTCATAGAGATATCCAAAATGCCAAGTTCGTTCCGAATGTGGAAGAAACTCTCCCTACTAAGGGGTTTCGTGACAATGTCCGCCAATTGATGATTCGTTTCAACAAACTCAATTGTGACATCTCCCTTTTGGACGTGATCTCGTATGAAGTGATGCCTAATTTCTATGTGTTTAGTCCTCGAGTGAAGAGTGGGGTTCTTCGTTAGACTAATAGCGCTCATATTATCACACCTAATAGGGATGTGATCAAGTATAAGGCCGAAATCCACTAGTTGTTGTTTTAGCCAAAGAATTTGGGCACAACAACTTCCCGCAGCGACATATTCCGCTTCGGTGGTGGAGAGTGCAACACTAACCTGTTTCTTACTAAACCACGAGATTAACGAATGACCGAATAAGTGGCAAGTACCGCTGGTACTTTTCCTATCGAGTTTGCAACCTGCAAAATCCGAGTCGGAATAGCCAACAAGTTGACATGTTGAACCTTTTGGATACCAAAGACCTACGTTCAACGTGCCCGCGAGATATCGCATTATCCTTTTGATCGCAACCGAGTGTGACTCTTTAGGACATGATTGATACCTAGCGCATATACAAACGGAGTACATGATATCCGGTCTACTCGCGGTAAGATAAAGTAAAGAGCCGATCATACCTCGGTAGCGCTTGATGTCTACCTCTTTACCTATTTCGTCCTTGTCGAGATAGCAAGAGGTGCTCATTGGTGTGTCAATGGATTTGGATTCGGTAACATCGAATCTTTTAAGCAATTCCCTGCAATATTTCGTTTGACACACGAATGTTCCTTCTTTGCATTGTCTAATTTGCAGCCCAAGGAAGAACTTTAATTCTCCCATCATCGACATTTCAAATTCACTTTGCATCATATCGGAAAAATCCCTGCACAAAACCTCGTTAGTAGCACCGAATATGATATCATCTACGTAAACTTGAACCAAAAGGATGTCTTGGTTATCTTTCTTGATAAAAAGAGTAGTGTCGACTTGACCCCGTTTGAACTCATGGTCCAAAAGAAATTTGCTTAACCGTTCATACCAAGCACGAGGTGCTTGTTT